GCAGTGGTGGAGAATGTGAATCTCGCGCGGGCGCCGCAGCGAGGGATGGAGTGCGTGTACTTCATATCGCCGAGCGCGTCGAGCGTGAAGGCGGTGATCGAGGACTGTGAGAAGAAGACGTACGCGAAGGCGCACGTGTTTTTTACGTCGTCGGCGCCGCGGACGGCGCTGACGGCGATCAAGGCGAGCGCGGCGTGCGTCGAACGCTTGGTGAATCTGAGTGAGGTGAACGTGGAGTACAATGTGTGCGATTCGCGGGGGTTCACGGTGGGCGTGGAGGATGCGCTGCGAGGGACGTTCGCGGAGGGCGCGGAGGGGTCGAGCGCGCAGGGGCGCGCGTTGGATCTCATCGCGACGCGTCTGGCGACGGTGATGGTGTCTTTGGGAGAGATTCCGTCGATGCGGTACATGGCGAAGGGTGAGAACAAAACGAGCGACGCCGCGCGCGGGATCGCCGATCGAGTCGATCGAATTCTCACCGCGATGTTGCGCTCCAAGGGCGCCGAGGCGGCCAAGGCGAATCCCACGTGCGACGTGCTCATCCTCGATCGCTCGTTCGACGTTCTCGCGCCCATCGTGCACGAGTGGACGTACGAGAGCATGGTGACCGATCTTCTCGATGTCCCGAACGGGATGTACAGGTACAAGATCACGACGAAGAAGGGGGAGGAATCCAAGGAGGCGTTGCTCGGCGAGAGCGATCCGCTCTGGTTGGAGTTTCGCCACTCGCACGTCGCCGAGGTTCTGAATTCGCTGGCGGATAAGGCGAAGGCGTTGGGCAGCGGGGGTGTGGGCGCGCGCGATGTCACGACGGGACAGTTGAAACGCGCCGTGGAGTCGCTGCCGAGAGTTTTGGAACAACAAGCTAAACTCTCCGTGCACACGTCCATCGCCGGCGAGATCAACGACGTGTTGCAAAAGTGCAATCTGAGCGAAGTCGGGCGCGTTGAACAGGCGGTCGTTTTCGGTGAAGCGACGAGCAAAGACATCGTCGCCTTGTTTAACGATCTCGACACCCGCGGCGTGCGTTTACCGATGGTGGAGAAACTTCGCCTTTTGTTGGCGTACGTCAGTTCGCATCCGCAAAAGATTGACGAATCGGAGAAGCAACGATGGATGAAAGAAACCGGCCTGACGATGTCGGACATGAATATTCTCGAGAATCTCGAGTTATTAGGTCTGAAGATTCGCAAGGGCTCGACGTCGTACTTTTCGAACTCGTCAAAGAGCGCGCGTCCCAAGGTGCACGAACGCGAGAGCGAGTGGGATCTCTTTCGATTTTTACCGACGGTGGCGGCGTTGGTGAAAAACTTGGACGCGGGCACGTTGGACACGACGGAGTATCCAAACATCGTTCCCGCCTCGGGCGCGGCATCGACGCCGCAGACGATGATGTCGCCCACGAAATCACGCTCTGTGCGCACGCGCACCGAGGCGTCTTGGGCGCAGCACGGAAGCGCGGGCTCGATGGGCGGCGGCGATTCCGACTCAAACTCCGCCGCGCACAGGAGGACGGATTCGACGGCGTCGAACCGCGCCACGAAGCGCGCGAGTCGTCGACTGATAGTTTTCATCGTCGGGGGCATGACGAGAGGCGAGCTGAGAGAGGCGCACGCGCTCTCTCAGGCGCTCCATCGCGACGTCATCATCGGCTCGACGTCGCTCGAGACGCCGACGTCGTTCATCGAGAAACTCACAACTTTGAGCGCCACGAACCGCACGAGCGGTGGAAATCGCGTCGATAACATGTTGCGAGGAAGAGACATCGCGAATTTAGCCGATCTGAGTGGGTTGTAAAACGTACGGTTGTCAAGTACAAGTACTAGGTACAATGCGCCACCTCGTCGAGAATTTGTGCATCACATGACGGAGCAACACGTCGGTTGCGCCTGCGCCGCCGCGAGCTTCTCCGGATCAACCACCGTTAGCCCGCTCTCGTTCGCCACCGCCGCGCGTTCGGTGATAATGGCGTGCAAAACGCGCGGTTGTCCGTCCGCCATCACTCTCACGCCGCACGCCTCCAAACTCTTTTCATCCGGTCCGAGCATTTTCCCGTCGCACAAAATCATGACGTATTCGTAACTCGGCGGTTTCTCCGAGCACATCGGTTCGCTCGCGCTCTCATCCCCTCGTTCTCTCTCGAGCCACTCCGCGTCGTAGATCGCTCGTCGAAGCTCTCCCACCGTGGCGTCGAGCGCGAGCGTCACCGGTCCGACGTCCGCGCCGCCCGCCCGTCTCGCCTTGACGCGCACCGTCGTCGCCGTCGCCGTTTCCGTCGTCGCCGTCGTCTCCATCGTCGCCGTCGCCATCGCGCGCGGGATCGAAGACGTTCCTCCGGTGTTCTCCGTCGTCATCGTCGTCATCGTCGTCGTCATCGTCGTCGTCGTCATCCTCGTCCTCCGAAATCACCCCTCGCGGTGGTCCACGCACGGATTCCTCGCGCGATCGTCCCGCGCGTCCGTCGCGCGCGCGCGCCCGTCGCGCCGTCCACCCGCCGCCCGCGCGCGCGCCCGCGCGCGCGCCCGCGCCGTCGACGCGCGCGCGCGCGAACGCTCGACGCGCGTCGCGCGACGTCGACGCGTCGCGATGTGCCGAGTCGAGTCGTCCGTCGACGAGTCATGACTCCCCAGCGAGGCCCTCCGCGGGCTGGTACGCACATTCCCGGGGGGCGCCAACCGCCCGCCGTCGATGCGTTGACCGCGCGACGCCATCGGAGAACGCCGCGCGCGGACGACGCGAGGCGATGAGCGCGCCCATGGTGCGCATGCCGGACGGGCGATTAATGGTGCGTCGAACGGGCGCGTCGAACGCGCGCGTGGGGGTCGGACGTGGGCGCGGGTGAGGGATGATTATGATGTGGATGATGACTCGCGCGGCGGCGAGCGGTGATTCTTTCCTCGCTCGACGACGATGCGACGCGACGATGGGGGTGATGGGATGGAGACGCGATGGATGGAATTGATGCGCGGGTGGGGAGGGGGTGGAGACGCGTGTGACTGACGGGGGTGTGCGCGGTGGCGTCGATCACCGATCGACCTCGCGCGCGTTGACTCGACGCGCGCGAGCGTCGTTCGATGACGACGATGATTCCGTGATCTTTATCGATGCGTAGCAACCGCAGATCGTGTTGTTGAGAGAAGGTACCGATAGCTCGCAAGGTCGTGGGCAGTGTGTGTCGAACATTAACGCGTGCTGCGCCGTGGCGGATACCGTGCGGACGACGCTCGGACCGCGCGGGTTGGACAAGCTCGTGAGGGATAAACGAGGTAACACGACAATCTCGAACGACGGGGCGACGATCATGAAGCTGTTGGAGATCGTGCACCCGGCGGCGAAGACGTTGGTGGACATCGCGAGGGCGCAGGATAGCGAAGTGGGCGACGGGACCACCACCGTCGTCATCATCGCGGGCGAACTCTTAAAGGAGGCCAAGGCGTTCGTGGAGGAAGGCGTGCACCCGATGAACATCATCAAGAGCTTTCGCGAGGCGTGCGACTTGGCGACGGAGCGAGTGAAGGCGTTGTCGACCTCGATCGAGGGAACGAGCGCGGAGGAGAAGGATGAGCTCTTGAAGAAGTGCGCGATGACGACGCTGAGCTCAAAGCTCGTGGGCGGGGAGAAGGAATTTTTCGCGGACATGTGCGTTCGCGCGGTGCGGTCGCTTGATCAAGACTTGTTGGACCCGAGGATGATCGGTGTAAAGAAAGTCATGGGCGGTGGAATGACGGACTCGTTCCTAGTCGACGGTGTGGCGTTCAAAAAGACGTTCGCCTACGCCGGTTTTGAACAGATGACGAAGAAGTTTGCGCAGCCGAAAATCCTGGCGCTCAACATGGAGCTCGAGTTGAAGAGTGAGAAGGACAACGCCGAGGTGCGTCTGAGCGACCCCACCAAATACCAGGAGATTGTCGACGCGGAGTGGAACATCATCTACGAGAAGCTCGACAAGTGCGTCGCCTCCGGGGCGAACATCATCCTGAGTAGGCTCGCCATCGGCGACTTGGCGACGCAGTATTTCGCCGATCGCGGTTTGTTCTGCGCCGGTCGCGTCGACGCCGAGGATTTGCAGCGCGTCACCAGAGCCACGGGCGCGCCGGTGCAGACGACTGTGAATAATATCACGACCGCGCAGCTGGGAACGTGCGAGATGTTCGAGGAGATTCAGGTTGGGAACGAGCGATACAACATCTTCAGAGGATGTCCGCAGGCGAAGACGTGCACGCTCGTCTTGCGCGGTGGCGCCGAGCAGTTCATCGAAGAAGCGGCTCGGTCTCTGAATGACGCGATTGAAATCGTACGTCGCGCGGTGAAGAACGCGACCGTCGTCCCCGGGGGCGGTGCAATCGACATGGAGGTGAGTAAGTACTTGCGAAAGCACGCGCGTGGCGTGGCGGGCAAGTCGCAACTCTTCATCGACGCCTTCGCCAAGGCTTTGGAGATCATTCCGAGGCAGCTCTGCGACAACTCTGGGCACGACGCGACGGATATTTTGAACAAGCTTCGCGCAAAGCACGCGGGTGATGACGGCGCAAACTTCGGCGTCGACGTGAACGAGGGGGGCATTTGCGACACGTACGAGCGCTTCATCTGGGAGCCAAGTATGGTTAAAATCAACGCCCTGAACGCGGCGACCGAGGCAACGTGCATGATTCTCTCCATCGACGAGACGGTTCGTAACCCGAGAAGTGAGGGCGCCGAAGAGGGCATGGGCGGCGGCGGCCGCGGCATGCCGATGGGCGGAAGAGGCATGGGCGGAAGAGGCATGGGCGGAAGAGGAAGAGGAAGAGGCCGATAGACTCGCAGTGGATCTATTGTGATGATGAAACTATTCAGTTTTACACCACGCGCGCGCGGGCATCTGATGTGAATTTACCTAATACGATCCTAATCGTCGTCGTCGCTAAGATTTTCGCTGCTCAACACGGAATCGTCGCCCACGTACAAATCAGACGTGTCCAGTGCGTTGATGTATCGCATCAACATATCCGACGCCTCGGTGTTCTCAAGCTCGTCTAATCGCGCCTCGGCGTCGTCCACCCCGAGATGCGCGTACTTTGGCGACCACGGAGACGCGGGCTCGTTCCCCACGGGTGAACCCGGGCTCAGAGCGCTCGTCGGCGTCGGCGGGGCGGCCACGGATGGTGTTTGCGCCGAGTCGAGCGCATCCCTCGAAAGCCTCGCGGCGTCCGCGGGAAGATGATCATCCACGTGCACGCTTCTCGCCGCGAGCAGCACGTTGTGCACGAGCATCACGGCGACGGGTTCGAAAATACCCGAAGACGTCAACGCCGGCGTTCGCACGCTCGTCGTTAAATCCATGATATCCCTGGGCGTCAGCACGGCAAACTTCGTCGGCGCAAATTGCGCCGCGGTGAACGAAGCCAGTCCGATGGACGTAGACGCGGCGAGAGCGCCCAGGAGCGACGGCGCGCCTCTGCACACGTGCGCATCCGCGCTCGAATCATCGCCCGCGTCCTCGTGCTCAGCCTGACTTGAACTCTGAGTGAGCGGCGCGCCGTCGAGTAACATGCCGAACACGTCCTCGGCCACGGCTTCGACGTCCACCGGAGTGAGCGGTCGCTCGAACGACGCCCACGCGGACGACGCGAACGCCGCGGTGACGGCGTGTCGCGATATCTCATCCGCATCACGCGGATACGCCCGCGCCATTCGCGTTTTCAGCGCCGACATTCTCGGGTGCCTGCACACGCTCTCCAAAACGCCCGTCGACGCCGGTGCGAGTCGACCGCGCTGGGCGCGGCTCACGAGCCGGATCGTCGCCACCTCAAATTGCGCCAACGCCGGGTGCGACGCCACTCGCAGGGCGAACATGGCGTGTCCCGACGAGCGGAACTTTGGTAGGTCGTCGATTTCGCACGGTTCCGACGCCGGACACGACCCCGTCGTCGCGCCGAGCGTGAGCGTCGAGTACAAAATATCAATCCAATTCGCGCCGCGGCCGACGCCGGTGACTTTTTCCACGACGTGCGAGACGTTCCCTCCTCGGGTTTGCAGTCCACACACTGGATCTCTGAGTAACTTCCACGCCTCCGCGTGCGGATCCAAGTACGCCGAGCTTCGATGCAACGCGATGCCGAGACGCATGCCCAATCGAACGCGTTCGCGCGGCGGCAGCGTGGCGAGAAGCAGAAACGGGCGAATGAGTCCGGCGCGATACGCCTTGTCCCTGTACTCGCTCTCGCGGTCGAGCACGTCGAACACGAAGGACGCGCTCTCATCCGCGGCCTCGCGTCGAGCGGTTCGAACGTTCCATCTCTGTTCGATCATCTCGTCCGTCTCGATTGCCCGTTCGCCTCGCGGCGCGCGTCTGGTCGATCCGGACAAGGCCATATCCTTGAGCGACCTCGCGAGCGAGCCGAGAGAGGGAATGGAGACGAACGCGCCGACGCGAATCTTCTTCTGCGTCTCATCATCGACGTCGCACCGCGCGCACGACCCCGCGCCGCCCGGTCTCGATCGTTTGCGCATCATTCGCTCTTCGTCGCCGCATCGCTCGCACCTCGCCGTGCCGCCGCCGCACGTCGCGCACTCAAACACCTCCGGATTCTTCCCCTTCTCGCCCTCGTTCACCCCTCGACGCGCGTGCGCACAGAGCTCACCGCACCACGAGCACCACCCGACGACGCGCGCGCGCGCGTGAAACCCCTCGTTCGCGTCCGTCTCCTCCGCGTCCCAATCCCGCACCCACCCCGCGCACTTCGCGCACCGCCCGTCACCAATCTTCGCGAACGCCTCCCCGCACCGCGCGCACGCGTGCGTCGCTCTCGCACACATCGAACAATGACTCACGTACGTCCCTCGTCGTCCCACGACGCGCGCGACGACGTGTCTCGCGTTCCGTCCGCACCACGAGCACCGTCCGCGCGGCGCCAGCGCCGCCGCCGCCGCCCCTCGATCCACCGCCGACCACGCACCCCCAGGGACGATCCCGGCGCACACCAAACACTTCGCGTCGTCCCACCCGTCCCCCCCGCGCGTCATCGCTCGACACCGCGCGTGATTGACGCACCGCGTCGTCCTTCGCGCGCACGCCCCGCATCGCGCCGCGCCGTCGCCGTCCCCGCGCTCGCCCTCGAGCTCCACCCCCGTCACGCGCGCGTGCGCGGCGACGGAGAAGCACCACGAACACGTCGCGATCGTCCCGCATCGTCGTTCGCGTCCGCGCGCGCGCGCGGCGCTCGCGTCGACCTCGCTCGACCGCGATGTGTGCGTCGTCGACGTTCGCGCCGTTTTCTCCACGCGCGCGGACGCCGGAGACGTCGCGCTCGAGGGCGACGCGCGCGGGGGATCCCGCGGCATCGTCCGCGGTCGCGCGCGACCGCACGCGCGGCGTCGCGCGCGCGTGTGGACGAATGATGTCATCGCGATGTGTGCATTGCGTGACGCGCATGACATCATCCCGACGCACGACGCGTCGACGCGCCCGCGTCGTCGTCGTCGCCGTCGCCGTCGGCGGTGCCGTCCATCGCGCGCGCGCGGATCCACCGGAGACGTCGTGCGCGGCGTGCGCGGGGGCGTTGGTGAGACATTTGAATGACGCGCGGGACGTCAACGCGCGACGCGACGCGGGACGACGACGACAGCCGGGCACGCGCACGCGCGCGATGACCCACGGGTTCGCGGGCGAGCGCGAGACGTACGAGGCGCTGGAGACGTTCGCGCGGACGATTGAATGGGATTGGCGGTCGTGCGCGGCGGTGACGCGGGCGAACGCGGATGCGTTGGAGAATGAAATCTTCGCCAACGGCGCCGAGGCGGATGGGGTGCGAGCGGTGATGTGCGCGACGGACGACGACGACGACGAGAGCGACAGTGAGCTGTAGCGGTCGTTGGGTGTGGCGGGGTGTCGTTGGATTACGCGTCGGGTCTTCGCGCGCGGCGGCGCATTGTGAACGCGCCGGCGCCGCGCGCGAACGGCTCCGCCCTGGGCGCGTCCACGGCGCGCGGTGTCGTCGCGGGCGCGTTGGACTCGGGCGCCACCGCGGGCGCGGGTTTACGCGCGGCATCGGGGTCTAAACCCGCGAGAAGTCGCGTGAGCTCTCTCGTGCTCACCGCGCGCTCGCTCGGCGGTCGGCGCGTCATGCACACCGCGTCGTCGCCGTCCGCGTAATACCTCTTTCGTCGTCCCACCTCGACGAACCCACACGTCTCGTACAGCGCCCTCGCTGGGAGATTCCGCGATTTAACCTCGAGAACGATCGCGTTGTGCGGTCGCAGACCGATCATCGTCCGCGTCGTCCGCGCCCCCAACCCGCGCCGCCGCGTCGACGCCCGCGTCGCCAACTGCGTGATCTGCGTCTCTCCATCCAAGACGACGCAGAATCCAACGCACCCGATCGCATCCTCCGCGCCTTCCCACGTCTCACCCATCGCCGGGACCGCGATCACGCACCGATGGATCCCGTCGCGCGCCGCCGCCGCCGCCGCCGCCGCCGTCCGCGTCGTCG